CTTCTTTGAGTCATTTGTTTTGCTATAATCTTGCGACTGATTTAGTATACCCTCATAAGGGGAGCTTTTGTTAGCTAGAATTGCCGACTTTGTGCCTTTTTTCCCCATTAATGTTTACTCCTCCACTTTAGGTTTACTGTCATTTCAAGGATAGACATGTTGTTCCTTATGCTTCAACTCCACATCTAACACTTGCTTCTATTGAGGTCTGGCCTAGTGAGTCGTCTACTACTTCATCAACTTTTGATCTATCTGTTGCATTATGAGAATACTTTTGAATATGTACAAAGCATCGTATCTCTAGTTTTTCATAGTCTTTGCACATGTTTTTGTTCTTTTGCATTATTAGTGTCTTCTATGTCTATTCCTAGCTTTTATAAGCCGACATTGACATCTTCTTGATGGACTCCGACTATAGATGAAGAAATGAAAGCTAACAATAAAACATGGGAGCTCACTCCTCTACCTTCTGGTAAGTAGTATATTAGTTGTTGTTTGGTCTACACTGGGGATTACCTTCTTGATGGTTCTAGTGAGACTTAAAAGTCATGTTTGGTTGCAAAGGGCTCCCAGATGTTTTGTATGGTGTGCATTACTAAGGCCATTGCTCTTGTTGTTCGTTTGAACTTTGTTAAAGTTTTTTTTTTTATCTTATTGTGATTTTAGATTAGCCTTTGGATGCCAAGAATGTTTTTTCACATGGAGATCTACAAGATGAAGCATATATAATCTAAACAGTGGGGTATGTTGTTTCTACAAATGAACAATTAGTCCTTGGATTGAAGAAAGCATTTATAGCCTAAAGCCAGTGGCGGATCTATAGTCCCCAGTTGTCGCCACTGGAATTTTAAAAACTTTTGGAGAGTAAGTATTATTTCAAATATTTTAAAATTTATTAAAGATTTGCCCCCACTAATTTTTTTTTAATAAGATTTATAGGTAGTTATGATATTTTGACAAATATATGAGTCTTACTTATAAATATAAAAAAAATTTCTTTTAAAAGGCTAACTGCCTCCATTATGTATTAGATTAAATTGTTTTGATTTGGTGGTTTGAATAATTTTATTGTGATTGGTTAAGTAATTCCTATACCCAAGTTTAGTTTAATAGAATAGTCATAGTCTATGTTTGTTTCGATTGTTTGTTAAAATTCAACTATATATGATTGAGCCAATTTTTTTCGTTCAAAATTTTTTGTTAGGAAATTAAGTCTTATATATAAATTTATAGTGAGTTTTTTTTTTTGTTGGCTCTTTTTGTATAGCACTCATGTATATGAGGTACGACTTTAATTGACGTTCTATTAATGAAACTATACTTTTGTGAACATTAATAATTTTAATATTCATAAAATGTCTTGCTCCGCCCCTGCTTGAAGCATTATGCACTTTCTTTGCTAAACTCAGTACAATTCTGCATTAGTATGGTTGTCAACGCTTTAATTCGAATATTCTTTGTTTGCATGTCGATTCTCCACAAGGTTTCATTATTCTCATCTTCTATGTTGATGATATTATTATGAGTGACCATTTGAGAAAGTAGTTGGACAACAAATACTTAGGTCTCCTTCGTCACTTTATCAATATTGAGGTAGCCTCATCTAAGGAAGATATTAGTTTGTCTCTGTGAAATTATGTGTTAGTTTTGTTCTCTAAAACTAGTACTATTGATGCATTCTCAATTGATAGCCCAGTGGACCTGTGAGAAACTTTCGACACCACGAATAGTAATTGGTGGTTGGTTTATAAATTGAGTTATCTCATAGTTACATGTCTTTACATTACTTATGCTGTTGATATTGTCAGTCACTTTATAGATACTCCTTGTTAGAGCATCTAACCTAAAATCAATTAGCAATGGAGGGAGTGGCCCCTCAAGCTCTCTTAACATCCTCCCTCACGTGGGACCCGGGGCTCGCAGTTGGGGTTAACAAACAAACTGAAAACTATGCATACAAGGATTCAAATGGGTTAGAGACTTGACCCACTGGCTAGCTGACACTTAGCTCTAATATTATGTTTGAGGATCCAACACAAAACCAAATGACTATAGGTGGAGTGACCCCTCAAGTATATAAACCGATCTTGGTGGTCCTAATTATTCGATGTAGGATACAAGTTCTCTTAATGCTCCTAAGCCTCACTAGGAGGTTGTTTGTCGTATTCTTTAATAGTTTATTAGGCATTTTGATGCTGACTGAGCAAACATGTATAGATAGACAGTTTACTTCTTGTTATTATGCTTTTCTTAGTGTGAATCTTGTTTCTTGGCTCAGTGAGAAACAAAATATGGTGGTGTGCAATTTCTTATATAGATGTATTGTGACAATCGTTTTAATTGCATTAATTAGCATTTCATAAGCGTATCATGGATGTATTGTAATTTTGTCCCTGATCTCTTGATGTAAATTGAGATTGTCCCTCTCTATGTGACGTTGGATGATCAACTAGGTAATATTCTTACCAAATCGTCGACTTTGTTCACCTTCAATAACTTTTATTCTGAGCTTGACATTTTCTGATTTTTGTGTTCCACCATGAGGGGGAGTGTTGAAGTTCTTTTTTCTTTTTGTATTTATTATTTAGAATGTTTTAGTGTAGCGCAATATTTTAATTGTCTTCAATATCAATCTAACAAAAATAAGTGATAGGGTATAGGCAACATATGTCCTATGCGCAAGATTGTTTCACAGTCTCTTTCTTCCCCTCTTCTTTGTTCACCTCTTCCTTTTTCCTAAACCCTAATGCTCAATTATTCAATTTTCAACTCAGACTTTTTGTTGTTTCCACTATATTTTTGTAATGCCTTGGGTTCTAAGCCCACATTTTATGTTGTGCCCAGTGATTTTATCTTTTTTGATTTGGGCAGCCAGGTTGGTACTTGCTTTAGGAGCTGAAGCTAAGCTCGATGTTGTACCAGGTGCTGCAGAATTCGCATTGCCGTTCTCCACTTTGAAGGATGCTCAAGTTAGCATTTGAACTAAGACATACCTTCTAGTAGTAAACTTACAACTGCCTTTATATGTGGCTATATTTGGCATGCAGAAGGTTGACGAGAAGTTGAAAACTTTGGAGCGGAAGAACTTCGGTAAGGACTCCCGTATTCGTGTGGCTATAGTCGGATGTGGTTATTCGGGAGTTGAGTTGGCTGCCGTAGTATCCGAACGACTGCAAGATAAGGGAGTTGTGCAAGCAATTAATGTGGACACCACAATCCTACCAAATGCTCCGCCTGGCAATAGGGCAGCTGCCTTAAAAGTAAGAAATTGAGTTCTATTATTATCAGATATGTCCATTGAAATTTCATAGTTACTAGTGTTTTTTAGCTGACATATTTTTAGTTTTGGAAGAAATTAACTGATCTCTGCTGAGTTTCCTAACATTTGGAGTTTCAGTTTATCCTCTGGTTAAATAATTATCCCTCAAACTTGAAACATTTTGGTGTTCTTCCACTATTCGGCATGACAATCCATTCATATAACCTTGCCTTGTCTTTAACGCGGTCTTCCAATGCCTTCCACCACTTGGTGGTATCCCGACTTTAAGTCTATCTTGATGAAGTAATGGGCTCCCTCAACTAGTCAAATGAAAATCAGACATAAAAAGAAAAAAAAAAGGTCATAGTTACATAATTTTCTTAATGTATGTAAGATGGTAGATCATTATAGAATATTATGTCCTGTTGTGGTTCATGATTCATAGAGTAGAAGAGCTTGGAATGTAAAGGATGGATTTTAGATCTGACCAAATTAGTCAAGACTTGGAGGCAAGATCCTATTTGTTATGATGAAATTTGTTAGGAGAAATATTGTAATTCACAAATTCTGTGAGATCACTATGTATCTTTTGTCTCAACTAAATTCATGGTGTCAAGAGGCTATTGAAGATCAAAACAACATATGGGGAACAAGTTCAAGCTACATAGCTATACATTGAAGAATTCTTGGATCCTATCAAGTTTAGGTGAGGTAAGTTGACCTAGATACCTAGTTGCCCTAGTAGGGTTTAAGTTAGGTTGTAAATTTGGATTTAGAGTGAGTATTTGATCCTTTCATGACTCTGTGTTTTTGGTGTAAAATGTTTTTGAAACTTTAGGGTTTTAATTTTCGAAAACGGTTTTTGAAATGAGTCATTGAATGAAGGCTTTCTGATTACACCCCTTGGTATTTAGTAGAGCCTTGATTTTTTGAGAAAACTAGTGGATAACGCTTAGCACTCTTGGGACTTAAGAAACAAGAAATTAAGCAAGGCATGAAATTACAATTCTAGAGAGTAGCGTTCTCCAGCGCTGGCCATAGCAGTTGACTGCTGCCCAAGAGTTGGTTGCAGTTTTATTTTCAATAGCCAGTGCCTGCTCTTGAAAGTGTGTTAAATTATCAGAGAATTCCCACGCGTAGGAAAGTTACCGTGTTTGTAACTCGGTCGATTACTAAGGTCGTCTCCTTAGAGAAAACAATTGGTTCGAGGGGTGTTGGGCAACAGAAAATAAAAACTTTGAATTTTTAAAGGTTTGGTTTTGGAAGTTATCAACTAAGAAATAGCAATTAAAAAAAAATACCAGTTAATTGGTAGAGTTCATCTCACCATGAACAAGTATTTTGACCCAATTTCTATAGCTCACTTGAGATTGTACTCAAATGCACTCAAATGAAAAATATTCAATTAACATCCAAATATAAATAACAAATATGTATTCTAGTTAACTGATTTGATTTTGAAAGAATTACATTTACTTCGATTGCAGTGATTCCAAGAATTATCCATGCTAGACTCAACTGTATTTTCAACTTTAATCATTAAAATAACCCAAATAACTCAATCGTTGGAAAAATCATAATTTGGTCAAAATCTTCATTCACAGATGAGACTCCCACATCTGATCAAACGGAGTACGACTACTCACCCATAAAGAAATTGGAAACGAAAGCAATTGTGGAAGACTTGATTGAAATTGAAAGCAAATAAAACTTATATTGAAATTGCAAGTAAAAGTAAATATTGAATTGCAAGAATGTAAATTGTTCACAAAGGAAGAATTGAAAGTAATCGCGCCGCAGAATTAAAGAACTTGAAATTGAACAAAGCTTGTAATTGTAGATAATGGAGAAAAAATCTTGGCAAGAAGAAAAACTAATTCTAAACCCTAGGAGAGAAGAGAACAATGCTGTGGTGAATTGAACGATGAATTGGAGACCTTTCCCAATCGATCCTCTTCTCTTTAGCTAGACTTGGGTATTTATAGGAGAGTATTCACTGAAAATCCTCTCTTTTATCAACCACTCATGGCCTTTAAAATAACATAAAAAATTGACTTTCTTTAGGAATCTTCGCAGTAGAATTGCATTGACCTATCGATAGGAAGCACAAAATGATCTACCGGTAGAACTGCTCTTTGTTTTGCACGAATTGGTGGCCCTTCTCAGCTATTGGTAGAACAACATTCTGTTTCAAATCTACAGGTAGAAGAATGTCAACTTATCGGTAGAACAGGTTTATATTTTACTTCTACCGGTAGGAGTTAACTATTACGGGTGGAATGGATTTCAGCTTCCAGATGAACCGTTAGAAGACCTATTGGTAGGAGTGACCTTTTCTTCAATTCTGCCAGTAATGCTCTTAGTTTGACTCTTAGATCTACCAACTTATCCTCCAAGTCCTCCATAGCATTGAAATGTGTGCAAAACAAGGTTCTTACATTAGTTTTCTTGCAAACACACATTCATTATAAAATACAAAAGTAAACTAAAACAAAGGAATTAAGTGACTAACATAGCTGNGTCCAAGACCCATCCAGTTATATATGATATTCTAAAAGTCATCAGAAAAGAACTTCAACATATCAGGGAAAAAGTATTTCAGGGTGAGGAGTGGCTTTGTCACTGCATATCAGTACAAGTACACTTTGGAAGTACCTTGCTGAGTCCTCTTTAAATAATTTCATAGGCTGCTTGTCAAGCAAGGCAAATAATTCTCCTCCATGGCAAAAGTCTGTAATCAAACAAACGTGCGTAGAAGTCTGAGGGGAAAAGACGTGTCAGTGTACTTGACTTCACCAGGTAATTCAATATTTTAATAATCAAAGAGAGAAATCTCCTAGAACATACGTCACTTGAAATGTACCAGAGATAAAACCAGTTGACAACATTCTTTTGTGTCTTTATGTTTTAGCTAGTACAAATAACAAGACCTTAATCATTCTCTTTTTTCAGCCAATACCATTTCCTTCCTTTGTTCCTTCCTTCTCTTCTTCTCTCTTTCTTGTTTATAGGTTTCTATTGGAATTCAATACATATCACATCCTCACATTTATAATCAGAGTCTAAAACGAAGAAAAAATTCATTGATAAAGAGTGAAAACCTGAAATGAAGTATACAGAGCGGGGAGGAAAGGATGATCCAGTAGCGAAATGATTTCCCTTTCAATGCATGCTCGGTGAACCTGCCAATGTTAACAATGGTGTAAAATTCTTACCCCAAATGAGTTAGTGCAAAAAAGCAACATTGCTTCACACAATTAAACGTATGTGTACACACCACGGTGCAAAGTTCCCAGTGACAAGAAAACAAGTAACTAGTGGAACTCAGTATATCTCAAAACAAGACAAATCTACAAAATCAAGCCATAACTTTAAGGACTAGGAGTCTGAAATATGGAATGCTCAAAATTTGACCACAGGGAACATTCTGTATCTAGCAAGGTCACATAAACCTAATGTCATTGTTAACATTGTATTTATATTTTTATTTATTTATCACTAGGGGTATTCTAGTCTTTCTCATGTAGTCAGATTTTATACACACCGTCCCTTGCAAAAAGTTCTTATGATGATGGAATATTAGAGAGCAACATATCTCTTTTCTCTTTCTTTGTGGGTCCCGCATGGTTGTTTTCATCTCTTTTTATTGTATTTTCTAGCATAATGGTTATATATTTTGAGGTCGTCTAATTCTAATACAACCAAACTCTAATTTTTAGTGAAGTTAAGAGAGCTTGTATCCCAAATCGAATAATTAGAACTACCAATGTTAGTTTATGTATGTGAGGGGCCACTCCAGCCCTTGCCAATTGATTTTGGGTTGGATGCTCTAATAGGGGCATCATCTAGACTTCGGTATTTCAAAAGTCGAAGCTTTTCACCACGACTAGGCGCAAGACCATTTGTTGTTGTTAGCTACTATTGTAGGTTATAAAAAGAGAATTAGGGTTTGACTTTGAAACAACAGTCGTGGAAGGAAGAAAAAACTCAAGATCCTAATTTTTCTTTCACAATCAACTCTAGATTTTCAAAAATTATGGAATGTGAAAATTCAATTGTAACACCATTGGTGGAAGATTAGATCTACTCAGTCCCTTCTTTGTCTTTCATTGTTGCGCAGTTGTAGAAACTTCTATCTAAGCATCAACCTAATGTTTTGTTTCATCTCCTATACGCTTGTCTTCAGACCAGCTTTAGGCATATCTCGTTGTACTTGTGTTCAGGGGGGCGGTCCAATACTAACGGGGACCTAAGGAGAAAAATACAAATGAGCCCCTCTTAATATTTAGTACAATAATATTAATAATAATTTATAAATATAAAATTCTCTAATATATTAGTTTTCAAATTTTATTTATGGTGTATAAATATTTCAATATTATTCAAATTTTGTTACATAATTTGGTTCTTCAGTTGTTAAATTATAACTTGCGCTATATATTATGTTTTTTCTTATGCTAACTTTCTTTTGCCACAAATAGCACATACATATACAAATTTTTTTTTGGTTTTTGATTTGTTTTTGTTAGAGATAGAAAATGAGGAGGAGAGAGAGAGCACTTTATGGCAAAAATAAAGTTGTCATCATGATGCCAACACGTGTGTGTGTGTGTGAGAGAGAATACTTGAAGGCAGGAATAGAGCTCCCCTTCAAATTGTCAATATTTACATATATACGCCATAAGAGGCCCCAAAAAGTGTGTAGGTCTGACTTAACTTGAGTCTAAGACATATTATTGTGCCCTAACAACTTGGGGGCCCTAGGCGACATTATATGACTAATGACCCATCAGGTGCTTCACATTATATGACTAATGACCCATCTTTATTTCTTTCTACCTCATCTTCCCCTATCTCTACTACTGTTCTAGCTGCCAATGGAACTTATAACTTTACTTCTATTTCTTTCTGATGTCTACTATATCTCTTAACTATCTTTGATTTTGAATTCCATCATTCAACTTTATAATCTTGGTTACATTTTACAATCTTCCTCCATCGGATGTATTATAT